TTTAAAAAAAAAAAAAAAAAAACAACTCATTTTATTGTTTAAGCAGATCTCTTAAAAACCACTCAACATGCAGCAGTAGCCTAAAAGACAAGAATAGAGCAAAAAAGTTCATGATAGCTAGGTATGGCAGACTTCCGCTCCAGGAAGATGGTGGAGTATTGTATAGGGAGTACTATGACACTTTTACATACTAAACCTTAACCTTTCAGGTATGATTTTCCAAATCTGTTTGCGGCCAAGACTTGCACTGTGTGACCAGCAAGTCAATATATACTCCCCTTTCTGCTCCTTACAGATGTCTATGACTCATCACCACTTTACCCAGGCTGTGCTTACAAACTGTGGACCCTACTTTTACCTTATATATCCATCAAGCCACTTTCCTGCACCTGTACAACTAGCCTTAATTTACTGCAAGGTGAAGCAGTACAGCAAGTACTTGTCATTCTCAGTTCTCCATCAGGACTGAAATCTCAACTTGATCAAGATGGAATTTAGTAATTTAACATTAAAAGCAAGCTATGCTTTTTGGATCTTCTTGGACTGTTAAGTCCCCACAGCTAGTCCTACAGGCTGTGTAGGATACCAGTACTGAAGCAAGCTCGCTGGGGAAAAGACCCAAGCTCCATGTCACTCAAGTTATGGTTACTGCTCCTTTGCCTTAGTGTCGCACAGGTTTTCAAAAGCAAGTAGACAAGGGAAGACACCCCCCCCACCCCCACTGGTTTCAAAGGGAGCCTTGGCTGCGCGACGGCTGCAGGAGCAAAGCTATGGTCTACGACAGGAATGAGAAGCGACAGCCTGTGCTCACATCAGAACAAGCCAGTCAATTTACCAGAAAATGAGTCAGTCATAAGGTTTCTATCACTCCAAAAGATTCTTGTCAGTTTTATTAACTAAGGTTTCAGCATGTGAAACTAGTCACAACTCATTAAAGGTCCTGAACTGAAAGAGAGCTAGATTGTAGTCTATTACAGGAGAAAAAACAAGCAAAGTTTAATTTACCTAGACAATTAGTACGAAAACTTATTTTGGATTTAAATAACGAAGAACAAGGATTAACAGTAACCTGCACAGGTACACCAGAGGTGGTTTCCACAGAGCCTCCCTGCTTAGAGAGCTGTTTTTTTGTGCTACACCCTAGGCTTTTGGCAAGATCTCAACTCCTTCTCTGTCCTGAAATTTAAACATGTGAAATGTCATCAACATCAATAAGGAAGCATTGCTATGGACCAACCTTTTCTGTCCATTAGAACAAACTGTGCATTACAGTATATCAAACTCAAGAAATACACACAGGCTGACACCACACTTATGGCTAGTAAGAGTTTAAAAAGGGCAAGTTAACATTTAGTTTGTGCCAGCTGGAGTCCAGACACTAGAATCTATTCTGGAAGATTACAAGCAGCTGTGCTGGGCTGCAGTACCCACCGATGAACTATGGGCAGAATCTAGTGGGCATCTAGAGTCAAAAAGGCCATGGGGAGGCAAAGTCACGAACAGATGTCTCCTCCAGCAAGGCATAATGGAGCAATGTCACTGAATGCACTTACAGCAAGAAGATAACATTTAAAAAAAAAAAAAAAAAAAATGTACCTGTTTTTGCCTTGTGAT